CTCGGAAAATAACAATTTGATTATCTTCTTTACAAGTTGGGCATTTTCGACCCGCATGCTCCAACTTGAGGGAGGGGGGGTAATGAGATATTATCGTATATTAAATTGATATGATAGAATATTAGCAAATATTATCTTATGTATTTTAGTTAACTTTCGAATATTCTACGATATCTTTTGATACTAGGGCTAGGAAGAATGTAACTATTATATATTTCGACTGTGATTAATGAGAAGGCAAGCAATTATCTTTCTAATTCTTCAGATGTAGAGGGCAAATATCAAAGTAAGACATTTTAAAAGAGCCAAATCTCGGGTATAGAAATCAGTTGATACTTTTTATCCTACCCAAGTTGATATCATCTCACTCTTGCATTTAACCTATATGGTCGAGATATCAAATAAATGTAATGGTAATAAATAATATTAATTCTACGTATAATTTTGCAATGACCAAGCATAAAATTTACTGTTTCAATTGGGCAGAAAATTGAACAACTTTCTGCTTGCATTGACTTGCAGATATTGTTGCAACTTCACCTTGGAAAAAGTCAGCTGCTCACTTAAAATATTGGAAAATTTGTCAGAAAAAACCTTTTAAAAGCTTTTTGGTTAAAAAAAAACCACCACGTTCATTTTTTTTGCGAGAGGAAACCCATCTCCTTAATTACCCTCTAATTAACATAATTAGACTCTAATTTCCTCCCATTTCTTCTAATTAACCTCTAACCCATCAAATTACTAAATAATTAGATTTAATTTATATTTAAAAAAACCACCACCCAACCACCAACCAACCACCCCTTCCCCTTCTTCCTCCCTTTCCCCCTCTAATGGCAGCAACCCCCTCCCCCACCGGACCCACCGCCAAGATCCCCCCACCTCCGGCGACCTATCTCCGCCGCCGGTTGACGCTCCCTTTCCCCTTTATCCTCGTTGACAACCACCACCTCCCTTCAAATTTTTGGTAACTCAAACATGCTCAATTCGAGTGCAAATCAATTGAAAATTTGCTTTTAAATCACCTTAGCATCACATACATACATAATCAAAGCCAAAACAAGCATCAGTGCAAGCAAGATGCACAAAATTAAAAAAAAAAAAAAAAAAAAAAAAAAAAAAAAAAAAAAAAAAAACCCAAATTGATTTTCTAGGGTTTTTCAAAATCAAGGAGGTGGTTGTCGCTGGCAGTGATAAGGGGGAAAGGGAGGGTCGTCCAGCGGTGGAGGTAGGTTGCCGGAGTGGGGGGATCTGGGCAGCGGGTCTGGTGGGGGAGGGGGTTGCTGCCAGGGGAGGGGGAAAAGGAGGAGGAAGGGGATGGAGTGGTGGTTTTTATATTTTTTTTATTCTAATTATTTAGTAATTTGGTGGATTAGAGGTTAATTAGAAAAATGAGAGGAAATTAGAGTCTAATAACGTCAATTAGAGGGTAACTAGGGAAATAGATTTCCTCTCGCAAAAAAAAAATGAACGTGGTGGTTTTTTTTTCAACCAAAAAACTTTTAAAAGGTTTTTTTCGTAAAATGGTGCTTTCAAAAGGTTTTTTCTAACAAATTTTCCTAAATATTTGATAACCTCTTTCAAATCCCGTAGATGCCTATACAGCTCACCTACTTCCTGAATGAGATAAAAGGCCAACTTAAGATGTTAATGTACTTCATAATTCACACGTACTCAGCATTCACCACTCCTACAAAACAAGCAAGGTAGACTTTACCTTGCAATATCTTACAGCCATACTAAATTTTCTAATATTCGAGAAAAGATTCACATCATGCTCTCGACATAATATGGCCTCTGTTTATAACCCGAAAAATCAAATGTCACTATCAAAATGCATCTGTATAAACTTTTAACTACATGAAATCAATAATGCAATTTAAATTTTAACTGCATGAAATAATTTTCTTGATAAAAGAAAAAGATAATTAATTGATTTTACTCCATATTTTGCTCGAGTTTGTCATCTTGGTGTTTGATACAGGTAGATACATCGGTTGAATATGCTTTATGAAGTCAAGTAGGATTTATTGCTTACAATAATGAAGTCATTATCCGATGTTTTGGTTTAAGTTGTATGTCACCTCTTGGAATTGAGGTCAATTCCTTTTCAAGAGAGAGGGTTTGATGCGGGAGCATCCTTGAAACCTACGGATTGTGTGGCTAGCTATATGATCCGCTTAGTGGCATTTTTAGCTCCATCTATGTTTTGGATAAATTCTCCAGGTTATAAAGTGGCTTACGTGAATAAGAGCGATCCTTGTGTCTTGATTTTACAATTGATGGTTGAAGATGTAAGCATGGAAACAAGGATGAGAAAGAAAGGCTTGTACTTGATAAAAAAATGGACTACTCAACTTCAAATAGCTATTTCTTTTTCGTAACAAATAATTTTCAGGTGTTTAGAATTGGAGATCAAATTAGAGTTCAAGAGCTTTCCTACGACAGATCATATGCCCAAGTTGAGCAAGAAACGAAGAAGTAATGAGCATTTGAAATCGAGTGCTCCAGGCAAATTCGTTAGAGCGACCGCTCCACCCTTCGGAGCGACCACTCCACCCTTTAGAGCGACCGGTCCATCTCGAATTGGGAATTTTGATAGAACCTTTGGAGCGACTGCTCCTCTTTACAGAGGGACCGCTCTGTTCAAAAAGAGCGACCACTCCGACCCTCTAGAGCAACCGCTCTAGATCCCCCTTGCTCCGCATCGGTTTTTATTCTTTATTTGGTTTTATTTCTTGCTTTTAATCTTAGCCATTCATCTTATAATCTTAGCTTAGGGTTGTAATTTAAGAAATCTAGGTTTTGTTTGAAAAGATCTATATATAGGGTTAAGTTTGTTGTTTTGAGGAATCTTTGCTTAATTTTAAATCTAATGAGATTTTCTCTCTCTATCCATAATCTTTGTGATTATTGAAATTTATGTGATTTCTTCTCTAATCTTTGCCCTACTTTGTGTTAGGTTTTGATTAAACCCTTATTGCATCAAACTTGGTGATTGATGTGATAAAAATTTATCTTTTTTATTTGTTCTCTCTCAAATTACATCTTGAACATTGAAGTTTGGATTGAAAATTGTTTTTTGTTGGTTATTTCATATCATATGGATTAAAAAGTGTTCCTTAAAAATGTTTATATGGCACGTAAATCTATACTAGCATTGTGCCACATTATCATTTAAGTAACATTGCGCCACACCCAACTAGCATTGAAGTAATTATTCCATGTCCTTACTAATGAGAAAAAAAAAACATCCCACAAGTTTCAAACAATGAACCTCATGGATAAAGATCTTACTATCTTAGCCAATAGTAATTCGTGTCTTCTTATTTCTAAATACACATAAATAATATATAGATACATCTATAAGTAAGCACAAAAAAGGATAAAAAAAATGATTATGTAGCCTTGAAAATGAATAAAGCAGAATAGCCTCAACAATTCTAAAACAGCGGAGAATTATTCTTTTAAAATTTAAATTCTCTATTTTACTTACTTTATGTTTTAAAGTAGCAATCCGGTGGAACGCCTGGGTCACACATTAGTTTCTTTATCAAACTTTTCCCTTAATTCTCTTACCTCATTTACTTCCTAATTTCTCATCTCCCAAATTTAATAAATATGACCTTTAGAATTTTTCACTTAATGTTTATAATTTTTCCCCGTATATTTTTCCTAATTATACCCAGAACCATACCCTCATCTCAAGTTACAGTGGCCAAAAAAACATCCAGCAATTCGAGTTATAATATGAAACTAGTATTTAGCCCGTGCGATGCATTCACGGAATCATCTTTTTATCTAAATATATGTATTTAGACTTTTTTAATCAAAAACTTTATTTTTTTTAAAAAAAAATAATCAAAAACATTTGTAAATACAAATCGTAATTTTTTAGTAAATTAAAATTTAATATTACGTACATAAATGTAATGTAATATATTCTTAACGGGAAAAAAATTACATCATATCATATGTAACATTAAGTAATACAAATTGCATTAAGCAAAAAAAAGTAACTCTGCCAACAAATAAAATTTGGTTTTGTCTATTTATTTCAAATTTAGCAAAAATAATATTTAAAAACACACAAATGGTTTATACTCCATACAAATAATTTAATTTATCACAATATTTATAATTGAGATTAAAATTATAAAATTGCAAATTGAAAAAACAGAGGGAGTTAAACATAGAGAAAACAAACCTTTTTGTGATCGACAAATTTGATGAAAGTGTGAAACTAATCGATACAAAATTTAGCCAAATTGTCTTACAAAATTCATCGACTCAATTGCGGTGTAAGGTTGTATAATTCAAATTAGAGAAATACTTCGTAGGAAGAAAGGAAATCAACTCAATTGCAGTGTAAGGTTGTATAATTCAAATTAGAAAAATAGGAAGGAAAATAAATTTTCGACATGCAAAAATGGGGAGAAAGAAGAGAATTTCTAAGTTATAATGACTATTATTTGGGATGAGAGTTGGAAACTGAAGTTTTCAGTAACTATTATTGGAGGCTATTAAGATTCATAATAAACATTGAAAGAGTTTTCCTAAATAAATAAATAAACATTGAAAGATTACATTTATCCAAGGAAATAGAAAACTAATTAACTAAATGATGAAAAGACATAAATGAAAAGGTTTCATTTAAATTAATAAAAAAAATATAAAACATATAACTACAAATGGATATTAGGAAGATGCCACGTGACACTTTGTATAACTTGTAAAAGTTCCTGTTTTAAAATATTAGTATAGATTCGTGAAATATTTTGTCGATGCAGTATTTATGAAGTATGTCTCTATTGCTTAGGGTCACTTTAAAGTTTATACTAAATTTAATTATTATTTTTTCTTTGGTTTATTAAAAGTTCTAACTAAATGCATTAACATTTATTATGATGTCACTTGTAGACTAACAACACTGAAATAGGTTGTAATTAAATAAATAAATGAAAGTAGTAGCAATTTACAAGTAGACAAATTTGCCAAGAAGTAATTAACAAACGTCTCCAAGATTAGTTCGTTATCATAATAAATCAACCAAAATTAAAGAATAAGTGTACTTTCTAGATACAATGATTAACAAATCAAATAATCAAGCAAAAATAGGAGGAACGGTCTTCATCTCCAATAATCCATTTCTTGAGAAGTCAAATTCAAATCCAAATCCAAACTCAAAACACTTCCACCATTTCTCTTAATCCCAATCGAACAATCATAACTTGGAGAACTTGATGACAAAGATAAAGAAACAAGAGGATGAGAAGGAAGTAAGGATACACTAAGGGCAGCTCTATGCCGCCTCATATGACCTCCTAGTGCTTGCCCTAATGGAAACGTTACTCCACAAATTAAACACTTGTGCATCTTCGGTTTTCCCTTCGTTGTATGATCCATCGAGTGATCATTGTCATCGTGGTTATGATAGTTGCTTGTTGCTCGAGGTCTCTTGTGGCTAGCCCTATGCCCTCCTAAGGCTTGGAATGAAGGTAACTTACGGTTACATGTCGTGCACTCGAATACACGACCTTCACTGTGTGTCACGGTTGCGGTCTTTAGCCCTTGTGATAACATCATTAAGTAGTTTGCCATAGCTATTGTGCTTTCTACATTGTATCTTTCTTCTCTACTCCTCTTTAGCACCATATTTTCTTTGGTTTGTACGTAATTGATTGCTAAGTTTTGGGTATTGTGGAATAATTTTGTGTTGTTAAATAGTTGAGGGTTTTTACAAAGTTATTAAAGTGAGTTAGTTTGTTTGACTTTGCTAAATGGTTTGACTAATTAATTGTTTACCAAAATGTTCTCGTGTAAAATATTATATTAATTTGTACTAGTAGATGTATATTAGTACTTTAGTTGGTGAATTTATTAGAAATTAGGAAAAGGGGGAAGTATTTGTTTTTTTAGGTAGAAAATTCGGTTAAATGAGAAAAATTGAAAGAAAATTGTTTGTCAACAACCTTGAAGGCGAACTTAGAAATTCTAGAATCTAGAATGAAAGGAAAATGTTAGGCTGACAACATATTCTACGTAACATACAAAATGAATAATGCATATTTGAGATTACTAGTTACTAGATTAGTAAACGTAATTATGCATGTAATTATGTACCAAAAAGAACCAACATATTGAAGTCGTCATTTTATGAGTAATCATGACAACGAAGATTACATAGTCAATTCAGCTGGCGTGCCAATTTATAATTTCTCATGTGTTTTCTAATTGAAATGGCTATTACGGTATTGAAAGTTCATCCATTTAGTAAAAAAATAAATAGCCTTTTAATCTCTGCAATGCACAGGTTGTTAAAGTAAAATCGGATTAAAATTAATAATTTTTTCAATAATTATAGATTCTCTTCCGAAAAACAAATTAAGAGTTAGGGGAGGAAAGTTGAACGTCATAGCAATTAGATATATTCATATAATATGGACTTTTTGTCAAAAACTACCTAATAAAACCCAAAATTTGTGATAACTATCTAATAAAAAATGATGTTGTAATAAACTAGCTCATAAAAGTTAAAATGTTGTAAAACACTACATTTGGCCGGATTTTCACCGTTAATCAATTCTTCCGGCGTTGACCACCCAAAACACCCCCCAACCACCCTCTTTGGGGTTGGACGGTGGTTTCGACTTGGTGGATGTAGTTTCAATTAAGCGGGGGTGCATTGGTTTTAAGGATAAAAGCGGGGTTTTTGTGTTGGGTCAACGCCGAAAAATTAAGTCAACGGTGGAAAACCGACTAAAGGTAGTCTTTTACAACATTTTACTTTTTATTAGGTGGTCTCTAATCACATTTTTTTTATTAAGTAGTTTCTCACAAATTTTAGATTTTATTAGGTAGTTTTTGACAAAAAAAATTCTTAAAATATTAAGTTATGAAGAATGAATATTTAAAAAAAAATTAATTTAATATTCACTCCCTATATGATATATATATATATCGTTTTAGAAACAAAGAATGGGATCAGATGACGCTTGGTGACTTGGTGCTAGTGATTAGGATTTTTAAACTTCATTTTCTTTTTATCTTCACATTGTGTTTTTCATGGTTTTTGATGTACAAACTTCACTATTCATATGTCTTGTTTCGTATTAGTAAAAAATTTGAAAATTTGATGTTACAAAAATACAAATTGCAACAAAACAAACAACATCCCACATATTAATTTTTTTTTTTATATATAGAATTTACAAAATACGATCAAAGTTCTACAAGTCTAAGCTCATGAATAGTACAAAGAAAGATTAAAAAAAAATGGAAAATGGTGGAAGTATAATATGTATAGATAGCAATCATAATTTAGGACAAATAATAGCTAAAAAGGGTGGAGAAGGTATTATGATTAAAGAATATTTAAGGGGAGATGAGAGTTCGGTCTAGAAACAAGGCTCAATGAGGTTTGCATACTAAAATCAGTTGATGATAGTAAGAGTAACTCCTCTACCTTATAAGGTGGTCAATTTTCTCCCCTTTTTCCAATGTGGGATACTCACAAGTAGACTATAATATAATAAGTTTAGTAAAAATTATTAAAGTTTAGTAAAATGAGTTGTATTCAGCTAAATATATTTATGTCCGTAGAATCAAATTTTAATAACAAAAAATGAGTAAATTCAGAGAAAAAAAATATACTCCGCATTAGATTATCAATAAATAATATTTTCAGTTCAGATAAAATAATTTAAATTTTAATAAATCTAATTTAAATTCACTAGATATCAAGTGAAGTGAATAAAGCCTGATAATCTTAGGTGAATTATTATTCGGAAAAAAAAAAAACCAACTATTGATGTGTAATTATTTAAAAACAACAATAGCTTCTTACGAGTATCTATTTAAGGTTGTGTCATTCACCTGATTAGACTTGATGAACTTATCAGAACTTATTAGAATTAATTGAACTTAATTATTATTGGAACTTATTAGACTTGATTGATGATTAGACTTGAAACTTTATTATTATTATTATTATTATTATTATTATTATTATTATTATTATTATTATTATTATTATTATTATTATTATTATTATTATTGATTAGGGGATTTTCCTCGCCCAATCAGTGTACGCCACGTGGACCAATTAGGTCCTGCCAAGTGTCCCCCATTTGGACCTATCAAGGCCTGCCACGTGGCATAAAACCATTTGTCCACCATGGACCAGTCATGCCATGCCGCATGGCCTACTGACTGCCAGTTTGGAAAAAGGTCACCTAGGCCCAATTCCTGAGAGAAGCCCAGTCAGGTCTAGGGTTTGCCAAAAACCCTAGAATTAGGCACGCATCCCGAGTCAATAAATACAGTAATTAAGCCTCCATTTACGACGATTCAGAGTTAATGACTCTCACCTAGAGAAGTCTAAACACACTAATCACTCCTCCCCTCGAGGAACCAGATCTCCCACCTTTACTTTTCCGCACTTTTCACTCCTCAAACAAGTACTAACTTGATCGTCGGAGGCGGAGCTCCCACCACCCGGAGTCTTCGTTGTTTCGCAGGTACAGGCGCAAGGATACTAGTCACGGAATTGTAACTCTCCCGTAGGACACCAAAAAACCCCGAAACAGTATTATTATTTTATAATAATAATAATAACAATAATATAATAATAATAATAATAATAATAATTATTATTATTATTATTATTATTATTATTATTGTTATTATTCAAACCATTGTCGTATCTTCGCTAATAATTAAAAGTGAATTTTAATAATTTTTAAAGTATAATAAAACCCCGAAACATTTTGGCGCCGTCTGTGGAGAGAGTACTTTCGAGATGGAATCACAGTCTGTACCGAATCAAAGTGAGAAGCGTCCCATGGACGACCCTCAGGTCTACACTGACCAGGATACGAATAATGAAGTTGAGGTCGAGACTCACGCGGCCTCAGACGGGACCTTAAGGGCTCGACAAACCCATCCCTCCGAAAGGAAAGAACGACAGGATTACCTGGCTAGGTCTAGTAAACCAGCCGGACAGCCGCTTGATCATCAACAGGCGGCCAAGGGATCTGCCCCCATCACTAGAAGCGAATTCATGACCTTCATGAATAGCTTCAAAGGGGAGATTCAGGATCTTATCAATAAAAGGACGCCTGTTCCACCAAAGGAACAGTCGGCCAGAAGACCCTCCCAATCTGGGATGAAGAAGCCTGTAAAAGATCGGGAGGCGACTCCTCACCCTAAGCCTAGGGAGTGGGAGCCGCCAGTGATCGATCTAACTAAGTACCACTCCCCCTCTCCAGGGAAAAGAAAGCCCATCTGTCATGTTCAGCCGGACGAGTCTAAGAAAACATATTCTGATGCTCGAATGTTGCTAGAGCAGAAGAGGAATGACCGACTATCAGAGTCGGCCTCTACGTCTGATTTTCAAGACAGTCTCAATAATACCTCCTGGAGGTATTCAAAATCAAATAATGGGAGCCAAACAGGCGGTATCTCCTACCGGTCCGGCTCCCAGAAAAATCAAGCGGCTTCGTATGTGCCACCCCAGCCATATGTGCCGCAACCTCAATATTTTGTGCAGCCTACTCTGTTTAGAGGACAGGCGGCAAGAAATGTCCAACTTTTGGACTGGCAACTTAGGTTTCTTAGACTTGGAGAACAACCATCCGCCTTCTCCAAGGAGATAATTGAGGTTGCCCAGCCAGCCAAAGTGAAGAATGTGTTGGTAGGAGCTTATGATGGCACTACCAATCCTGAAGATCATCTGATGGCGTTCACTAACTTAATGTACCTTCAAGGGTTGGATGATCCCACATGGTGTAAATGTTTCTCGGCCACTTTGAAGGGCATCGTCTAACAATGGTTCGGCAACCTGCCGACCGGGTGTGTAAACAATTTCAAGACCCTCGCTTACTTGTTCACCTCAAATTTTGCGATGAACATCCCTGCTAAGAAGACAACCCTTGAGCTAGGGATTATACAGCAGGGAGAGAAGGAAGGATTGCGTTCCTACATTAGGCGGTTTAACCTGATGAGGATTCAAATACAGGGGCTGCCGGATGAGGTAGCCTATACTGATTTCTTCAGAGGACTTAAGGACGGGTCGAACTTCAAATTCGACCTTGTCAGGAAGAGGGTCACCACCCTCCAAGAAGCCATGATGGAGGCGGATGCCTACATTCAGGCAACCGACCTCTGTAATTCTGGAAAGTAGTCGGACGGCAAGAGGTCCGATAAAAGAGAGAGTCAATCAAATCAGTCGGCGAATAAAGAAGATAAAAAGAGAAAAGAAATCTGGGTGACCGACTCCTATGAACAGCCGTCCCAGAAAAATAATAAGGAATATAAACCATACTCCCCCAAGTATGAGTTCAACAAGGATAGCAATGCTATCCTTAATGAAATCAAGGGTCGGATCACAATTGAGAAGCCAAAGTAAATATTGTCATTATCATGAGGACATTGGTCACGAAACCAATGAATGTATCAGTCTCAAGCGCCTTCTAGACCGCCTGGCAGACAAAGGGGATCTTGACTCTTATGTCAAGAAGTCCAAGGGGAATGCACCCCCTAAATAGAAACAGGCGGCCAAGAAGAAGAACCAGTCGGCTGACAGTTCCGACACTGACGACGCCGTCGTCTATACTATAGCAGGCGGCTTCGCAGGAGGCGGCGCCACAATCAGGCGTCTAATAAAAGCAGGCGGTTGGTAAAATCAGT